AGAATTAGGGTAACCTTAATCCTATAAATATATACATTAAGGTTTACCTAGGGTTTTAGAACTTAAACACGTCGGTGGAGGCAGAGGGAGAGAACAGAGGAAGGCTTACAGTAGTCGGAGTTCGCCGGAGAATTTAGGAAGCAACGGTGCAAGGTTTCAAACTGAGACCTAAAGGCAAGTTCTAATCCTCACTCCTTCCCGTTGCCTCGTGTTCTTTGCATGTCTAACACAACTCCAGGGAACTGTTAAGGATTAAAATTAAACTGGATTTCTTGTACCTCTGTTGTTTTAAAACTGATTGTAGTTGAAACGTGTGTATTGTTTGTTTTAATTTCTTCCTTGTGTAACCTCTATTTAATTCGTGTAAACTGATGAGTAATGATTTTAATTAGTTCTATAACATGTTGGGAAGCACTAGAATTAATTTAGGTTGCAAGTTTGATTTGCTACAACATTCGATGCTCCGGAATGCTTAAACTGCTCGTATTAAACTCTTGATGCAAAATTCATGTTTTAATTAATTTTAGTAACTGAAAAATGAATTTAGTGGATTCTAGTATAAGTTGGAACCTGATTTAAACACTTAGGAACCCTAGGTATGAAGGTCAGTTCATCAGAAACTCACCGGAATTGAAAACGATGAAGAACAGAGAGAGAGACGGCTTACTGTTTTAAAAAGCAGGCTCTTTCGGACGAAGTGCAGGCTCTACTTTTAAGTAGAGCCGGCTCTAGGGGTCTTGGAGCAGGCTCTTCTTCTAGTAGAGCCGGCTCCAAGATGGGAAGAGCAGGCTCTTCTTTTGGTGGAGCAGGCTCTTCCCTCGGGTGTGCGTTTTTTTAATTTTTCTGCGACTGTGTGGGCTACAGAACTTGGATTTTGGGATTTTCAGTTTCTGTTGGAAGCTATACTGAGGTGTTTATAGGTGGTCTAAGCTTGATTAAAATCCTTGAGAGAAGATTTATGCAAAATAAAATAACTTTGTTTTAATGCGACAGTGGACAATGCTTAATTAATCAGTTTACTGGGTTTTTGTTATGAAATGATATAGAATTGCTTAACACTTAGAATAACAATTCTTAGCAATAAAATTCTCAATTAAACCTATCCCAATGTTATAAAATAAGCGTGTGGATTTAAATGGTTTAGTATGCTTATTTGGGCCTAAGTTGGTTTACAGTTTGGATGGGAGGAACTGCAAGATGTTTAAGCTTTAGTATTAAAATTCTTAGTGATGATTTGCAGTTAGTCATGTTCCAGAATTACTAAAAATAAACCTGTGAACATTTATATTCTATTATGGTTGATTAGAATTAATTGGTTTACATGTATAAACTGTAATATCAATTAGTGGACCTTGCAGAGTAGTATGGATTAAGCTTGTTAATTGACAATTATTTTATCATGCTTAATATGGAACAATTGATATTTGTACTTAGTGTTTTATTGTCAATTGTGGAATGTATGGATTGGTTGATAGTTATATTTTTATTTATTCTATTAACTGCCGGATGGATTAGATTGTATGCACCGGTATGGGACGGTGACATACTAGGTTTGGATTTGGCTCAAAATTGCTATATCCTACCTATACGGAATAAGGGAATGGATTAAAAATAAATCCTACATATATTTAGGCTAAGTCAAAGAAGCTGCACAAGCTGAATGACTAGCTGGATTACTGGTTATCTATGTTAAGTCTGTGCAGTTGAATAAGCTGAACGACTTACTAGATTTATTATGGATTGTTATGAACGGATTTTAAATATATGTTTATGGTACCACGAGAGGAGCTTGAGTCTCAGACTCGTTGGTTAGGGTGCGTATATACAGTGAATGCGTAGCTGGTTATAGTAGATTGAGGTGTACCCTGTTAGGTCTAGGTACTCATGCCCACCTTTGGGTGCGTTTTCGCATGTTACCTTCTATTCAGGTTGAGACCCCTATTGTAGTCCAGTGAATGTCCCTTAGTATGGATATATATATATATATACACGACTTATATAGTTATTGTTGAGTTGGTTAGAGTGTATATGCGTATCGAGTCTCTGCTTAGATTGTAGTAGGTTAGAACTTGTTCGTGGGCCTGACCCACTCCTATTTTCTAGGTGTACGTTAGTTCCAGGCTTGAGCTTGTTCGTGATGGGCAGAGAAGATCTTCCATTCTACCGACGATGTAGGACTTCTTTCCAGATATTTGATTTGGATTTTATCTTTAGTTTACTTTCATTCAGTTTGGTTTTTAGGGGTCCACTGGAGATGGATTCCCGAGTTATTAACTTATGGAGGTTTTGGATTATTGGGATTTAAGTATATTTAATATTAAAGGTTTTTATATTTAGTTTTCTTCCAGCTTAAACTTTATTTATTAAATTCATTTTGTCATCTGTGTTCGTATTACATATTAATTGTTTGATATTTCCCTCGGGTTTGGGCTTGGGCCTGATCAACCCGTGTCTCGGATCCGAGGGGTATCACAAGTATCACTAAGCAGGCCACACAACATAACATGAAAAGGCAATCCTTCATATTGGTGCACTGACCAAGTAGACTGCCAAAGCCAGTAAAGGCAGAGAGCTAGGGCCACGTGAACTAATAATAGCCCTAAAAGCAAAGCTTGTCCTTCACGCTCAAGTGACCAATTCCTAATTGTCTTTGACAAGTGTACAGTAGTCCTCATTGATAGAATATAAAAAATGATTGCCGGAATCCAAGATGACAATGACATGTTCGTCGGCGATACCTGAGCAGCAGAGACACCTATGGCCATAACAAACCAACACCAATCCCAGAAAGCATCAGAAATTCCATGAACCAAAAGCTGGCCCATCGTTAAAAGGTATCTTAGAACACCCATCTGTGGTTCAAACTTGATGATTTGGTAAGGAGGCTTATCACTACTGAGCCGTAGATCCATTATGGAAACCATAGAGAGGAAACACTTGAATGGAAAGAAATAAAGCAAGTCCAGTACAGAGTGCATAACCCAAAACAACACAAAGTGCAATTTAGCACCAAAAAGGAGAATAAAACAACCAGAACAATACCTGGATTAAAAGGAAATAGAGGCAAAGATAAACCTGCTGGAATTGCCGATGCTAAAAACTGAGTAACGACACAACCCCTAGTAGAAAGTCGGTACCAGTGTATCTAAGCCGGCAAACCGATTTGATCTTCTATAGGAATAGCGATGAGAATAGGAGAAAACATGGAACCTAAATCAGAGAACTTGAGACCAGAAGAGGATGGAAAAACAACCATGAGGTCCCAAAGTAAGATGTGAGGCCACACCCAAATTAAGATGTATATAGCAAGCCCCATAAAAGAAACCCACAGGATCCCGTGGATAAAGAGGACCATAAACCTAGAGACTACCCCTATGATCCCATAGCTGAAGAACGCCGACAGCTTGAAGCTTAGCCCAGAGGACATTGAAAACATCTGGCATGCCTATGTGTGATATGAGAACACCAACCTAAATGGTTGGGTTTATTGAATGTAGTGTTTCCGTAAAGTTTCTAGGAGTTTGGTACAAAAACTATGCAGCTTTGAAGTCTAGATTCTCTGCAATACACAACATTGTGTTATCGTGCACAATTCATCACTATTATTGTGGCGATCTTGTGGTTGAGTGTGTGTAAGCGTGTGCAGGTGGCACCGGTAGGCTACTACACTGAGCGAGCTATAGGTGCAGAATCCCACATCGCATGGGAGTAAATGGGGCAAGTGCTATATGTAGATTTAACACATTTTTATGACACAACGCTTTTTAAAGCCGTGATAGTTGTGAACCCACTAGAACTCTAAAATTAAGAGTATTTAACCTATAGTTAGGGACATAATTGTTAAAGGCTCAAGGCGCACAAAAGCACAAATGCCTTCTGGAGTTCGAGGCGCAAGGCGCAAGGTGAAGCGCGCGCCCGACTGAAGCAAGGCGCACGTTGGAAAAAAAAAAAAAAACAAAACCCACCCAATAAAGTATTAAAGATGCAATAGTATATATAAAGATGTAAAAGTCAACTAAATGAATTACTTAAGTTAAATATTCAACATAAAGATACCAAAACCAAGTAAATTAAGTACTTGAGTTCAAAACAGTGAATAATCAAACATATTAACATAAAGATGCAAAAGTCAACTAAGGAGAAGTATAAGATAAAACTAAAACAAACATAAACATCATTTCTTCCTAAGAAGACAACACCAATGAATCTAAATATTATCCTCGTCATCAATAAGCATAACATCATTTTGATCATCACTAAATGATTCATAATTCTTAGGATCCTCTTCTATCTCATCTGAATCATCCTCATCCACAAGTCGAACTGAAGAACTTCTTGCTCCTTTTGTTGGTAACCGTGAATTAGAACTAGATTTTGATCTAGTAGACCGTTGCTGCCTGTTAGCCTCTCCAATACTAGCAAAATTAGCAACATCACCCCATGTCAAGGAATCATCTTCATAGACTAAATCATCATCTGCATTAGAATCATCCATCATCCTCGTCAACCACTCGTTGCCCTCATCAATGTCATCGAGTAAAATGGGATCAAGAGTGTCACGCATATTATATCGACGCCTCAATGCTCTACTATATTTGATGAACACTAAATCATTCAAAGTTGTTTAAGCGAGCCTATTTCTTTTCTTGTTATGAAGCTGCAATAAATTCAACTTTAACTAGTAAGTATAAAAAATTAAAATTTTAACTTTCAATAATTAAATTACAAACTTAGTTAGTAGATAGTGTATACTTATATGCTCAAACACGCTCCAATTTCGTTCACAACCAGAAGAACTGCAAGTAAGGCTTAAAACCTTTATGGCAAACTTTTGGAGAAGTTTTGTTGACTTGCCATAAGCTTCCCACCAATTAGCTATTAAAAAAAAATAATAATGATGTTTTGCAACTTTAGCTTCATCTTGCTATCGACTCTATTGTCAAAATAATTTTAACACTTAGCTATACTAACTTAATATACTCTACCACTTTACCTGGTCCTCATGTATTTCTCTGTTTAATAGCAAAGGGATTACCAAAGAGGCCCTCAGCTTTAGAATATAAGGACAGCTCCTCAGTAATTTTGTCTTGGTCTTTGATATCCAGGATTAACCATGCAATGCATGCATACAAACCCTTTGCAATCTCTTCATCTTCTTCAATTTTCGGATTTGAATAAAAGTATTCTGGGTTCAAATAATAACCTGCTGCATGCAAAGGGCGATGAAATTGAATATTCCACCTCTTATCAATTATTTTAAAAATTTCCTTGTATTTGTCTTCTACTTCCCCAAATGATTTTGCAATGGCTTCTTTAGCCCTATCCATAACCGCATAAATGTATCCCATGGGAGGCTTTTTCTTGCCATCAACTAATCTCAAAACCGGAATAAGAGGACCAGAAACCTTAAGGCTAAAGACAATGTTGTTCCAAAAGGAAGGCATCAAAACATAAGAAGCAACTCTTTTATCGGCTTCCTTTTTAGCCCATTTACTACGATTCCATTCTTCTGAAGTAAACATCTTTCTTAAGTTATTCTTTTGCTTATGAATACTTGAAAATGTGATGAAACATGTAGCAAATCGAGTCTTAGCGGGCCTAAGCAACTCCTTTTTATGAGTAAAGTTCCTCATAATGTTCAACAACTTTGGACGCACATAAATATAACTATTCAACTCCACTGCCCTCTGCATTGTTCTAGAGATGGACGGTATTTTCCCAATGTCTTCCAACATTAAGTCTAAGCAATGAGCATCACATGGTGTCCAATACAAATGTGGGTGTTCTTTCTTTAACATCCTCCCTATTTGAAACCAAACGGAAAAAACAAAAAAATGATATAAAGAGAATGAGTAAATCAAAAAAGATTTAAATTATATATTTATAAAGAATTTACATACTCTAAAAGTTATAAAAATTGAACATTCTTACCGGCAGACTTATTGCTTGATTCACTTTCTGTGAGGACTTGGACGACATTTGCTACTCCAATGCGGTTCACAAATTTATTAAGTAAGTCAAACATCTTTGCACCATCCTTTGAAAAAGAAGAAGTATCTATCAATTCAATAAATATGGTTCCCCTTGGACTATTTACTAGGAAATTAAGCAATGTTCTCCCTCTCTTGTCTGTCCACCCATCTGCCATTAATGAGCATCCAAATTTTGACCACTCTTCTTTATGGTCATTCATCAAAGCATTGGTATTATCCAATTCTTTCCTAAGCAAATGAACTCTCACCTTATGATAACTAGGTGGTTTCATGCTAGGACCATATTGTCCAATTGCTTTAACAACCTCGGCAAAGCTATCATACTTAACAACATTGAATGTAATTCCTGCATCATATATCCACCTTGCAAAAGCAGCACACACTCTTCCTCTCAACTCTTTCTTGCATGCATCATTAATGACTGCCTGTTTTCCCTCATCCTTTCTTTTTTGTACCATAATTTTCGGTCTGGGAGTGAAATATAAATCAATCGGTCCCTTTTGCTTTTGCATCTTTGAGGAATTGACACTAGCACTACCTGCACTAGCTACCCTTTTTTCCCGATTGCTAACTTCCATGACATCATCCTCATCCTCTCCATCAATGAAATTAATCTCATCACTAGGTAACAAATTCATTTGTTCTTTTTCTTCCTTTTTCTTACTCATGTACTCTTTAATTTCTTCTCTAACACTAGATGGGCATCTTGTGCATGCACTCACATTTCTATATCCTCCAGTTAAGTGTTGCTTAGCCCGATAAATACCTCTTTTTGTAACTTTTGCACAGAAGTTACAAGTGACGGCATTTGTATCTTTCGGATTCTTCCAATGTGAGTAATTCCATGCCGAATCCTTTCTTGAACCTTCACTAGGCATCTTTTAAAGTTCAAACTATAATCAAATTCAATAGAAATTATGTAAGCTGTAAAACAATCTAATTTTTTATAACTATAAGCACCATGATTCTTTCTATAACTATAACAACTAAACATACTTTCAATAATACAACCTAATTATATTATATGAAAATAACATAACATTAAACAGTTGCTATTTACAATTTGCGATTGTCTTTTATAATTTAGACTTTAGAGTACACTTCACTAATTATTTCATTTTAACATGTTAGAATGATTCAATGGAACAAATACAGGCATACAATTTGGCTGCAATTGTGATTAAGCAAAGTAACTGTAGAATGTGTTGGCTCAAATTGGGAAATAGATCCGTCACAGACTCACAGTCACTCTCTACATGGAGATAGCTGAGAGATCGGTTTGGAGCTAATTTTTATGGATTCAGTATTTCAGTGTTAAGTAACTTAAGTTTGATGTTAATAAATTTGACTTCAATTTGGTGTTAAGTTGTTAACTGGACAACTTCTTCTCTCTATCAGTCTATCTCTCTGTATTTGGTATTTCGGTGTTACGTAAATTCTGTATATATTAGAAGCTTTGTATTCCTCTGCAAATTTTACAAGAAAATCAATTAAATGCCTTCTGATTTCAATAAATTTTTTTTTTTTTTGGGTGACCAAGAAAAAGAATTACATTATATCTGTCACATACAGGCTACAACAATCCGAAAAAAAAAAAATAAATAAAATAGCAAGTTTAGCAACTGTTATTTTAAGATTAAAATAGCAACATAATAAATCTGTCACAATCCAGAGTCTCTACTCTCCATTCTCCTCTCCCCGGCCCCTTCATCAGTTCCATCCATATATAACAATTTCTTTTCATAAAATAATAATAATAATAATAATGTGATCTTAATTGGTCATCAATTCCCAAATAAAAGAAAACTTAATATATGAATTAATCTATAAAAATGAGGAGAGCATCAAAAAGCAAAAAGTTTCTTTGAACAGAGTCCAGACTTAAGAAAAAAAATAAAATAAAAAAATAGAGAGAAAAAAAGAAGAAGAATAAAAAAAAAAACTGCCAAACTCGACAGTTGGCCGAAAGAAGAAAAGAAGAAGAAAAGAAAAGAAAAAAAAAAAAAAACTGAGACAGATCACAGATCTGAGAGGAGAAGTAGTAGAGAAGAAGAAGAAAATGAGGAGGAGAGAAGAAGAAGAGAAAAAGAAGAGAGAGAAGGAGAAGTTGGAGAACTTACCGGTAGAGTCGCCGACGGCGCAGATCTGGCAGATCCGACATAGATCTGAGAGGAGTGAGGACCGAGACCAAGAGTAACTATTATCCAAGTTGTCGCCTCTATGACCTCTGTCTTCGACTTTTCTTTGTTTTGGTGTTTGTTCTCCTTTTTTTTTTTGTTTTTTTTTAATGTGGTAACAATGTAACTTAACAAAAGTAATATAATAGAATCAATAAAGTCAATAAACAAACAAAAGTTACAAAACCAATAGAAGAAAACAGTTAAAATATTACAACTTCCATCAGGCGCGCCCTTATATCGCCTTTAGCCTTGCACCTGTACATAAAAGGCGCCCGCCTTCTGCAACCCATGCGCCTTAAGGTACTAGAGGCGCTGAGATGGCACCTGGAGGCGCCTTTAACAACTATGGTTAGGGGTGTACAAAAATTTGGTCAAATTGAATATCCAAACTGGACCGGACAGTTTGGTTTGGTTTGCTAATGGTTTGGTTCGGTCACAGTTCTAAATTTGTGAAACCGTAAAGATATAGTTTGGTCACGGGTTGAAGTCTTTTAGGACCAAACTAGACCGAATCGAACCGTTATGTCATACATACATATATATATATATATAATATACTGTATAATTTAACACGTATATAATATATACGTGTTAAATTATACACTATATATATATAATATACTATAATCCTACGTACAATCCAAATCATTTAGAAGTTTATAGCAACTATCAATTGTATGCTCCACTCTTAATTCTCTTAAGTCTTATCAATTAAATGGTTTTTTTTTTTTTTTTTTAGTAACTGAATTTTGAATTGTGGCTGATTGTTTGTTGTTAAATTAGTAATTCTAAATGTATTAGGTTATTAGTAATTATGAATATATTTATTCACTTCAGTTTCAAAAGTAATAGAGGAGAATGAATTAAAAGTTCTGAATATATTAATAGTTTTGAATGTGTTGGTAACTTGGTTTGTTGTTGTGCATGTAGATTTTGAAATATGAATATTTCTGTAACAAGAAAGAAAAAAAAAGGAACTGTGGAACCGAACCAAACCGGTTTTCACGATTTGATTTGGTTCCTTTGGTCAAATAGTTCGGTTTGGTTTCAAAATTTATGAATCCATTAGAATTGGTTAATTGGTTCCAAAAAACTTTTAAACCAGTCAAAACCGAACCGTGTGCACCCTTACCTGTAGTAGTACCAGGATGGAGGGGACAATATTGTGTCTAGATAGAGTGGGGGTTGTTACAATTATTAAACTTTCAACATTATTACTTTTGGGTATTATCCAATAGTCTAATTAATAAAGCACTCAGCCCTCATTAAAAAAAAAAAATTTAAATCTAGCTAACTAGTGTATGTTACACTTTAAGTCACACAATCCTTCTCAACGGGTGCCGCTCTCACGCTCTTATTCTGTTTATCATTATTTATAACTTAATTTTGCTGCTTTGGCGCTCCCGCTTTATGTGACTTAGGTTATGTGATACCCTCGGATCTAAGACACGGGTTGATCAGGCCCAAGCCCAAACCCGAGGGAATATCAAACAATTAATATTTTAAAACGAACACAGAATACAAAAAGAAATTTAAATAATGGAACCGAAAGAATTACTAAATATAAAATCCTCCAAAGTTAAACATTACATAACCCAACTCTCCAAAACCTCCAAAGTACAACTCGGGAATCCATCTAGTGGACCCCTAAACAATATCCCAACTGAAATAAACAACTGGAAATAAAACCAAATCTAAAATATGAAAGGAAACCCTACGTCGTCAGTAAAGTGAATGATAGTCTCTGCTTAACACGATCAAGCCTAAGACTGGAACCGTCCGATACCTAAAAAATATAAGAGTGGGTCAGGCCCATGAACAAGTTCTAATCTAACTACAATCCATATAGTGACCTGATACGCAGATACACCTTACATATCTCAACAATAGCTATCTAGTCCATACATATATATATCCACACTAAGGCACATTTACTGGACTATATAGGGGGTTTCAACCTGAATAGAAGGCAATACGCAAAACGCACCTAAGTGGGCATGAATACCTAAGCCTAACAGGGTATATTTCAACCTATCATAACCAGCTACGCATCCACTGCATATACGCGCACTAACCATTGACTCTCATATCGTGGTACCATAATCATATATATATAAAGTCCGTCCAAAACCAGAGTATGTCATTCAATTCTTTCTTGATCTGACATAAGACTCCTAATCCGGTTAGCCACTCAACTTACTCAGTCGATTTAACTTAACCGCGAATAATAATAAATCCAGGTAGTCATTCAACTTACTTAGTCGATCTGACTTAACCACAAACAACAATTAATCCAGATAGTCACTCAACTTACTTAGTCAATCTGACTTAAATAAAATTAGGATTCAATATTTTATAATCCTTTCCTTTAATCCAATAGGTTAGGTCTTAGTATTTTGAGCTAAGCCATCTCTAATATGCCACTGTCCCATACCGGTGTATACGATCCACAATATCCATGTAAATTATAGAACCTAAATAATAGTTCAGCAATTAACGTTCAAAATCATGTAAATTACAGAATGTAAATTATAGAATGTAATAACAGTTCAGTAATTAAAGTCCAAAATCATAATTCAGGTAATTGCAGAATAATGTTTAATCTTTCAGCAATTAAAATCCAAGCGTTAGTCCATGCAATTGTAGAAAAGGTTTAATGTTTCAATAATTAGCATCCAGAGCATGCATAGATCAAAACTAATAAATAAATGACCCTATCATGCATTTAAAATAAGTTTTATAATCATACTATATCCCTTTAAATTGCTAAAATTAAACCAAACAATTAAGTTCCTTCCATCCGTTAACAGCATATAAGATAGTTTAATCTTATACTGTTTGTCCCATTAACTTAGAGGTAAAGCTTAATCAATTAGAGGTCTTAATAACACCCAAAACTAACTTCTTAATCTCTCTGTGAAGTTCCAGAACCATCCGAAACAGTTCACACGCTCAAACAGTGTCAACAGTGCGTCAAAAAAAATATCAAAAATTGCAAAATTGAGAGAGCTTGCTCCATAACTTTGGGAGCAGGCTCTTTTGTGCATAGAGCCGGCTCTATGAGTGTGGGAGCCGGCTCCCAGTTCCATGGAGCTGGCTCTCTCCTCCTTTGAGAGCCTCTAGTCCAGTTTTTTACGTTTTCGACCGTTCTGCTTCGTCTCCGGCTGTTCCAACCCCTCTGTTCCTTTTTATTACTGAACCTAAGAGTCTTATATAATCCCAGTAGCATCCCAATGGTTTGTTTACAATAGTTTAAAGCAATTACAGTGTTTACAACCATACCGATTTAACATGCTTAAAGAATAAAATTGAAACTCAGACATGCAAGAACTGTAACCAAATTAATTCAATGCATATAGATCATCAATATAACATATAGTAGACATGCAAGTTCCAATAAATGATCAATTTAATCCCTAGAGACTATCTAGGTGCACAGAACACGAGCCAACGGGAGAGAGGAAGAAAAGAACTTGCCTTTGCAGTTTTGGAATCAAAACCTTATCGCAGTCTTCCTAAGTTTTTCGACGACGTCTGATCCACTGTCAATCTCCTACTGCTTAACCTTCCCTTCTCCTACGTCCGTTCCTGAATCCTCAGCCGAAACCCCAACTGTAAAGTCTCTGTTTTTCCTCACAACCTTACTCTGTTTTTCTCTGTAGCTTTGGTACGTGAATAGGGTTACTCTAACCCTTACTACAGATTATAACCGTGTATTTATAGGCACAAATATAACCTAAGTCTAATGGTAATCCAAGACGGAAACCCTAATCTAAGTTAAACCCTAGTCGGCCCATATAACAAAACCTACGTTAAATCTATGTCTGCTAATTAATAAAACTAAGTTACCTAATTAAAACATTAAATTCACTTAAAGACAATAGAACAAAGAATACTGTTAAACCAATTTCAAATTAAAAATTAAAACATTTAATTCATTTAGTGAAAATAAAACAAAGAATACAATTAATTCCATTTAATTCAAATAAGTCAAATATCAAATAATAAATGCAAATAAACAATTAAACAAACAAAATTAATAATGAAACAAATAAAAATGCAATAAAATAAATAATAAAATGCCGAGACTATCCTTTTAAAATTAGGGGTATTATAGGTTACACTGTAACAGCTTAGAAATGAACTATTTTGATTTTTTTTATTTATTAGAATCATAAATAATGGAAAATTAACATAGACAAGTACTATCATGTATTATACAAACATAATTCCTTTAACTTAATTGTTTCAGGAAATAAATGTATACATTTGAAGATCAAATATTAATGACTTCACTTATCATTCCCAAGAGAAATTGTTTGATCCCTACAACTTATGTTAACAAGTTATGGATTTGCTCCTGCAGCAGCAGTATGACTATAAGTAGTCCTTTGTGAGAAGTTGAAGGGAGCATGAGAGTGCACCCCATCATATACGACTTGAAGATTATCAGGCTCTAAGGTCGACCACTCCACTCGCTTCTTTGCTCCACATCTTCTCTTGCGACACCTAAAATAGTTCCTGCAATGTAATGAAATCCAAATCCAAATTAATATTAATTACATGATCATAATGCATGCATCAAGATTAGTTCAAATAATACATACCACGGAAGTTTAAATTTTTTTTTTCTTTTTCTTAGAGCATGTGTATCGTGTTGGGAATATTTTAATAAACATATAATTATATTATATTAATTATGGTTTAATGGGATTTTGTTCCTCTAATTAAATTATACTTATGCTGTATATTATTTCTATCATTATTATACCTTAGCGGTTACATATTTTACTCCCTATATATTCTCTATGTATAAAACATCTATAGGAGGACTTTGGAGTATATGGCAAGATCATAGAGTGACACTTTTGTAAGGGTTGTGAGCCTATTGAGTTTATGAGCAACTAGACTTATATAAACTTGGACCTAGCTAGTCTTCCTGTGGTCGTGCACATGGAGGAGACGCCACTGCGAGCTGATTGGGTTGTATCTTAGAGTTGATTAGTTTCACCAATACCCGCACGAAGGGGAGGACTATCAACTTTAGGTCAATGTGTTTACATATGCCTCAACAATTAGGCCAGCTCTTTCTTACCTATTTTATTATTGTCATTTTCATTCTTAATTTCTATTATTATATTAATCTGAATTATTTATCAGTTCTTATTTATTATTATAGCTATATTGTTCAATGATGTATTATTCAGATTAATGAAAGAATCGTTATTAGTTTTTTCACATTGGTGGTGTTGTTCATTTCATTGAATCATTGCGTATGAATGTTGTATATATATATATTTTTTTATAATAATGTGAAATTTCCACAACATATCAGCCCCAAAACACACGCACCATTCAAATTAAGAGTATAGTTCGAAAACGAGATCTTAAGGACTTACCTTCCGAATCTCTGTCAACATCGCTATGCCCCTAAGGGCATGGAAGTTTAATTAGCCGTATATTTAGTTACACACACACACACACACACACACACACATATATATATATTTGAATATGTTTAACTAGTATTACGCACAATGTGCATCATGCATTATAACTCAGTGATACTTTCTCACTTTAAAATAGAAAATCTTTGTTCAAGTCTTTATAGGGTCAAGTTAGTTAATGTGGATATGTACGTTTTCATGTTAGAAAGTATATAAAAAAAGAAAAAGAAAAAAAAAAAAAAACCTCTATTTACAAAAAAAGTATAATATATATGTGTCTAAGTGTGTGATCATGTAAATTCGTGCTCATAGATACAAGAATTTTGTACCTATGTTTGTGATATATAGTCCTTAGTGATATTTTTTCGTCTTAAAATAGAAAGTCAATGTTTAAGTCTTTACAAGGGCAATATGCATATGTAAGTTTCACCAGAGAATATATATATATATATATATATATATATATATATATATATATATATTAAAAAAACTCTATTTAAAAAAATGTATAATATATATGTGTTGGTGTGTGTGATCATGTAAAGTCATGCGCGCGCGCGCACACACACACACACACATATATAAGAATTTTGTACCTGTATTTTGTGATTTTTTTTATGAACTTCTGGCCATATGTTTTCCATTCATAACCATCCTCAGGTATATTATTGCCTTCTCACTTCATATGTTGCTCTTCTATAGATAATCCCACCTCAACTAATTCCAAGTAGAAGACATAAATAATCAGTTACTACATACAGATAATTCCCTCACTCTATTCTCTATGATCCATTAAATAGCCACGTATATATGCATACTAAATTAATTAAGGTAAATTACACTGACCTCATGGGCAAATTACACATACATGAAGAGTTTGAACTTTATTATTTTGACTTTCCTTAAAAGTATGACATGTCTTTCACATTCTTATCTAATTTAATAACAGTTTAATATAAAAGATCTATCTAACCAAAAGACTATGTTACCTTTTTTTCCCCCTTCTTGTAAACGCTAAATAACCCTACCTAATTTTTTTACCCTAATCAAACCCTAAAAAAAAACCTAATTAAATGTCATTAACAAAAATAAATTGTTTTTGTAAAATTTAATAATAAAAAATTGGTATGAAAATTGATGCTTTACATTATTTTAATGGCATTTCATCGTATTTTTGTCATTTATTGTCAAAATATAAGATTATTGAGGTCTTTTAACGCAAGGAAATGGCAATTTAGCCATTTTTAAAATTTTCATTAATAGCTACATTATTTTAATGGCATTTCATGGTATTCTTTTCATTTCTTGTCAAAATATAAGATTATTGAGGTTTTTTAACACAAGGAAATGACAATTTAGCCATTTTAAAAATTTTCATTAACAGCAAGCGGTATTGTTGAGAACACATGCCAAATTTCAGGGGAAGTCAAAATAATAAAGGCCAAATGCTCTACCTATGAGTAATTTACAAAAACTTCAGGGGAAGTTAGTGTAATTTACCTTAGTAATTAATAGGCTTTTGAGTTACAACATTTTTCACACCCAGCCACTAAAAGTAGTAAATTATTGGGTTAAAATCACAAACCCCCCCATACTTTCAAAATCATGCATAAAACCCCAGATAAATCAAATAGGTCCCTAAACTAACCACTTGTCAAATTTCCCCAAACCCGTAATCGACCCGATAACTAAACTGTGAAATGACAGATTTGACCTTACTATTTAATGTTAAATTAAAACTTAAAAATAAATTTTTAAATAATGATTTTACCCTTTCATTATTTAATCCAAATTAACCAATACGGCGTCATTTTTTATTTCACGCACAACTTATATCGATATTGTAGACACTAAAATTTTAGCGGGCTTTGGTTTTGACAAATGGACCCATTAAATATGGATCTAATGTTTAATTAAGTTATTTAACTGGCCTAAGCTTGGTCCACTTAAATTATTTAATTAACCAAGCCCAGATGATTAAATGGAAAGATAATAATTTCTAATAAAATATATTTAGAATAATTATTTTTATGGATAATTATCATAATATAACTAGTCCGGCCCAGTTATGATTTTTTGCTTATCAGAAGAGGATACGTGTCATCATTATATTAATCCAAGAAGAATATAAATAAAGGCCTGGAGGAAGGAGGAAGGGGTATACAAATTCAGAATCCAGAAATCCAGAGACGCAGAAATCCAGAAAGTCCAGAAATTGAGGGAATCACAATTCCAGAGGGCCAGAAATCCAGAGGGTAAACCTGAAGGCGAAGAACACCAAGCACATCCAAAGTCGTGCCGTTCTTTACCAAATTCAATAAATCCTCTCTGAAGACGAAGAACAACAAGCACATCAAATTGTGCCCTTTTTCATCTAAATTTCACGGTGATCAACAACAAGCACAGCCAAAGACGTGCCGTTCTTTATCCAAATTCCACGGTGATTCAAGATCAAGCTCGTGCAGCCTTTAGATCCAACCAACCAAAAAGGAGATCGAATCAGAGGACCTTATTCTTTGGAATATTATTACAGAGGATTATACTCCATCTTTATAAATTAATAAAATATTCTATTTGCCCCCAATTTTGTTTTTATTGCAGACTACAAAATTTGTGTGTACAAATTTTTGGCACGCCTAGTGGGACATCTTCTGCCTCTTATCTCCTTCTCTTACATCAAATCCTTAACATATTCATCGTCAGATTCTATGACTTCCGACAAGATTCAGATGAAGAGCAAGAATACCCCAAGGACGTCACAGTCATGACGGACAATATCAATACACCACAAAAGGTGGCAAGAAGGTTACAATTTCGTCAAGTGGTACAAACACCTCTGCAAGTTCAATGGTGTGGAGCATGGTCAAATCATCCGTTCCCGCTAAAAGACAGCACGATGCGATGAGAGTCAATTCCGCCAAATCTGTCAAAGTAGCAACTCAAACTCATACCCCCTTCACCTCACTAGGGGCAAGGAGGAAGGTTCCTACAACCTCAAAGGTTGCTCCAGTCACAAGTTCAAGTTCAAGGCTGGTCAACCCAAGGCTAAAGATTTTTTTCTGACTATGTCACTATGCCAGTCATGATGACGAGTACTACCTCGTACGAAGAACAATTAACAAGTATCGTCCGCACAATTGAAAGATTACAAAACTCTCTTAAGGAGCAAGATTTGAAAATTGCCTCGCTGACAGAAAAGTTAAAATTGCGTGACGACAATGCTGAATCAAGCAAAGGCCGAATTCCTCATTCTAATTCCATGTTAGAGACCACTCCAATTGATGATCAAAATGACATGTCCGTTAATCTAACAATTGAAGCTGCCTCCGTTACCTCACTTTCCGTCCAACAACTTTAAGACATGATAGTGAATTACATAATAAAATAATACAGTGGCATTCCTTAAAGTGCTCGCATGTACGTAAAGCATTACACAGAAAGAATTGACATCTTAGAAATGCCGATTGGGTATCAACCTCCGAAGCTTCAACAGTGTAACGGAAAAGGCAATCCCAAGCAACATGTCGCACACTTTGTAGAAACTTGCAGCAATGCTGGTACAAACGAAGATTTCCTTGTCAAGCAATTTATTTGTTCCCTCAAAGGGAATGCATTTGATTGGTACACAAACCTCAAAGCTAGAGGTATTGACAGTTGGGAGCAGATAGAATGAGAATTTATCAACCGTTTCTATAGCACTCGCCGTACTGTAGGTATGCTGGAGCTTACAAATACAAAACAAATGAAAAGTGAACCCGTGGTTAGCTACATCAACCGTTGGCGAGCTCTAAGTCTTGACTGCAAGGATCATTTGTCTGAAATTTCTACAGTTGAAGCATGTATGCAAGGTATGCGCTGAGAGCTTCTTTACATCTTACAAGGGGTTAAACCTCGCAAATTTGAAGAGCTTGTTACTCGAGCCCATGACATGGAGCTTAGCATGGAAAATCATGGTGCTAGAGAAAATGTTCCTGATATATCCGATAACCTTTAAGAAGATGAGAAAAGTGAGTCCGAAGAAGAAAACAATATACTTCCTAACTCGGATGACGAAATAGCTTCATCTTTCATTAT